AATGTATTTTTTAATGCTCATGTGAAATAAATAACATTCTTTCATTTAAAAACGCTACGAATTAATTCCAACACCTAATAAGTAACGATGTTACTTTTATCGTTACTTTATAATAACGGTTTGGTAATAAAAAAAATTATAACATTATTATCAAATTATTTACCAAATTATGATATTTATCAAATTATTATTATAAAAAAATAACAATAAAAGTAACTGTTTCTATACTTTTTATTAATAAATATTATAACAAGATTTACTTTTGATAACAATTTGTCTCATATTTCCGATTTGGGTTTTTCTAAGATACACATACATCGATATATTATTCGACTTCTTTTAAGTTATCCTTTAATATGATATATTTATTAATAATTGATTATATTATATAGTTTGCACTTTTCGAAATTTTTTTATATTAACTAAGAAATATTAAAAAATGATTTCTTTGGGCCATAATATTCTTTTTTTTTTGCAAATATATTAGGTGTTGGAATTAATTCGTAGCGTTTTTAATGAAAGAATGTTATTTATTTCACATGAGCATTAAAAAATACATTAATGAAAGTACTTCCCATCACTTGTAAAACGCTACGAATTAATTCCAACACCTAATAATTACCATAAATATCTATGATATCATAGCTATCATAGATATCTATGATAATTACACAATTATAAATACACAATTTAGTTTTGTTGTACATCATATATACATTATTAATACAATTTTATTGTATATATGTTAATCCTTCGATGCCGCACTATAATAATGACATAATTTGATATGACATATCCAATTCAATTCGATTGCTTGTAACTTTCATGAAAATAAATATGTTGTAAAGAATACTTTTTTCAATCGAAACACTGGATATTAAGAAACATTACATACTAACTAAGCATATGTATCTTTGGAAGCATTGAAAACGAAAAACCAGATATGTCATTATACTACTCAACAAAACAATAGAGAATACATTTAAAACACTCAAAATTTTACAATTTTTGGATCACCAAAAGTTAGTGAAAAATCATCACTGATAAAAAAAAAATAAAAAAGCTTTTAAAGCTTAAAACTCTTAAGCCTGATCTACAATTGCGTAAATGTAATTGTAAGTGGCCGTAGTTGTAACAATTCACCAATCACAGCCGGATATTCACCTCGAATTCAAGTGTGATTGGTTAATTCTTACAACTACAACTATGTTTACATAATTGTAGATCGGGTTTTATATTTTTGCATTCAATAGTGTGTAGCTCAATACAAAATTTTTTCTCAAAAAAATTTAATACTTTTATAAAAGTACAGTGTTTTATCTACAAAATGACCTTCAAAAGATTTGAAGGCCTTTCTTAGAAATATTCAACTTTGAAGTTAAATCTGCACTTTTTATAATCAATGTTGAAATTCGGCAACAAATTATTGTAAAAATTTCTTTATCTCCTCAGTTTTGCTGAATTAAATTTATACAATCAAAAGCATATTAAAATTAAAATTTCGAGCTTTTTGCGATTTTTCGATGATTTTTTAAATTTGATTGTAAGAAATGCATATTTAATTTTAAAGTCTAATAATTAATCGGTCAAGAAAAATTATAAGAAAATTGAAAAAAAATATTTTGCAGAAAACTTTGTACTTTTTTGTAAAAGCATTAAATTCTTTAGAAAATGTTCTATCGAATTGCAAACTATTGAATGTACGTAATTTTAAAGAATCTAACAATGTACTATTTAAAAATAACTGAACAGTAAAAATAAAGATATTTTTGGAAAAACAGCCAAAGCATATTAAATTACAAGTTTCAAACTCGACAATGCTTTTTTACTTTATAGGAAATAAAGATCAAACTTGGATCTTTGATACTGAAACAATTCCGTGAATTTATATATCACAATTCTTCAAATTGCGCATCGAATTTATTTTCAGACTTGAAACGCAATCCTAACAAGTCTAGAGCAGTAATATCACAAATTAAATTGACAAGCAATTTAATAATAATGCTCGTAATTTATCTTTATAATAATCCTTAAGCAACTTAAAGCTGTAAATAATTTTATTGCAAAAAATATTATCTTGACCAGAAATGAACTTGAATGTCATGCATTGCGTGTGTAAGTTCCTTTATTTCTTGTTGTGCATTCATATCGTGGTTTAAATACTTTAATATTGTTTTTATTTTTTTGTCTGTAATGATTTTTTACTAGTTTCGATGATTTGAAAATTGTGCAAATTTGAGCGTTTTCAGTATGTTCTTTAATTTTTGTTAAGTATGTGTGTACCAGTAAAGTAACATCAAAGAATTAATAATTATCGTACATAGTACCTACTCAATACATTGCATTGAATAATTGTTTACATGCAATTAAATGTAATTAAATTAAATGTATCAATTTAATGTCAATAATAATTTATAATACAATTAATAAATACTACAAGCCACATGTACTTGTATATGTATACATTATTAATAGTTTACTTATGTAACTCTTTTTTTGGGGGGATTATTACATTTCAGATTAATTGCGTTAATGTCGACAACCATATCGACACGTAATTATTATTTCTGAAATTAATTCATTCATTTGAATAATATATATATTAGTTCAACATCTTAATACTTAGACCGTAGTGGCGCTTCGGATTGTAATGTCTTTTTTTTATTTTTTATATATTATCGTATAACTAATTATTCAGCATGATATTACAAATTGTTAGTTCAAATTGTTATCACAGTATATATAGTAGCGCAACTCTCGGCCCCTTTGATGTTAGTGTTGCGATGCGAATATATCTAGTGAGTTTTGCGAGGTATTTTGACAGAATCAAAAAAGGATGAAAAGAGAAAGAAGTTTTAGGTGGCAACGCTAGGTAACTTATTTATTTCACGCATGCACACTCCATTTTAGTCAACATAAAATCATGAGAGATTGCGCTACTATATATACTGTGCCATTACGTAAGGAGACAATTAATATGAAATTAATATAAAATTTTAATCGCAGAATGAAGACGATAAGAAATATACCAAAATATACTGAGGCATTTTAACATCTTGAGATTTGATTTAAAGACTACGTAGAAGACTTTCAAGTTTGCCAGAATAATGTCGTTGAATTGTTTCATTTTGTTGTTCTACTTTGTGTGTTGTAATTTAATCAGTCTCGTGATAACATCGAAACCATTGTCAATTTTATTCATAGAGCCTCTTCCATCGCCGAGCCATCATGTCTGGACGACAAATTTGATTAAAGAATTGCTTCGAAAAGGCCATCATGTACATGTAATAAGCACACATGAGACTAAAATCAAAGATAAACTTGCGCAGAACTTGACGTACGATGTAAGTAAATATTATGGGACTTGAAACGTTTTGAATATAAATTAATTATTTTAAATTTGTGAAACAAATGCGAAAGAATGTAATCTATCTGTTTTAAAATATTATTTTATATTGTACTAAAATATTATTTTGTACGTATCTCAAATCATTGTATTAGCTGAGCTCCCAATATATATTCATATTTCTATATTTTTTTCAACAGTAATGAATATTCATTATTTTCAGGTATTCGATGGTTTCATGAAAATAATGGAAAAATCTGAAAAGAATTATGATCCGGTTGAATGGGAACGATATAGCATACCTTATATGATATATTCTGCATATCAATGGGGAATTCATGCATGTGACACAGTGATAGAAACTAAAGAAGCGAAAAAGCTATTAGAAAAGATCAAGATCGTCGAGTTCGATGTTATATTGCAGGATACTACACTAAATGAATGCTTATACGGATTGTGGGAGGTAATGATAAAGCAATTTCTTAAATGTTAGTTAAATGTTAGTACTGACTTAACTCATTTTTTCAATTTATTACAATAGTTAGATTTAGCTATTTCCATTGTCACTCTGTGGATATTGTTTTTCAGATTGCTAAAGGTAAACCACCCATAGTAGGATATCTTCCGTTTGGCTCTGCACCTTGGCTCAAAGATCTTATCGGAGGTCCAAGTTATCCAACTGCTCGGTCTTATGCATATTTATCAATTGCGAAACCTATAGATTTATGGCAGAGAACATGGAGTACTGTATATTTTACTATTGATAATTTCATACGACATTACTACAAGGTGCGTCCCAAAATTTTCCAAACTTTTTCAATAGGGATAGGTCGGGTGGCGCCATCCGTGTGTTCGATTGCGCGTTTGAAAGGTACATCCCTAGCTGACTTCCAGTAAAAATTTCATGACATTTGGTTCAGTGGAAACGAAGTTATGGCGTCTCAAGTGTCAGTATGTTGTATACATCGGTACGAGAATGAACTTCGAACAAAGAGCCAATATTAAGTTTTGTTTTAAACTTGGTAAAACATTTACCGAAACCCATAATTTGATGAAACAAGTTTATGGTGATAATTGTGTAGCCCGTGCCAGTGTTTATGAGTGGTATACGCGATTCAAGAACGGTCGTGAGGACATAAATGACGACGCACATACAGGTCGCCCAAAATCGACAATTAACGAAAATTCCATCGAAGTTTTTATGATTCCAAGGGTATTGTGCACAAAGAATTCGTTCCAGCAGGCCAAACAGTTAATGCTGTATTCTATGTAAGCGTTTTGAAGCGTTTGGTGCACCGCATTCGTCGTATTCGGCCAGAATATCGCGAAGGAGGAAGTTGGCGCTTGTTACACGATAATGCGCCATCTCACCGTTCGACACTTGTCACTGATTTTTTGACTAAAAATCACATTTTAACAATCAACCATTCCCCGTATTCGCCTGATATGGCACCTTGTGACTTCTACCTATTCGGCAAAATGCATTTGTCCATGAAAGGAAAGCGGTATGTGGACGTAGAAGACATCCAAAGGGCTTGTACCACTATTCTGAAGGACGTGCCTTTGAACGACATAAAACACTCATTTGAAATGCTTTTAGATCGTGCCAAACGTTGTATTGAGTCCGACTACTTTGAATAAACAATTTGAATTTGAAAAAAAAAGTAAACCGTTGTTGTTTTATTTCAAAAGTTGGGAAAATTTTGGGACGCACCTTGTATTACATGCCCATTATGCAAGGGCTTGCTGAGAAATACGTAGGCCATACAATTAGACCATTACATGAAATAGGAAAAAATATTAATATTTTACTACTCAATAGTCATCCTGCATTCGATTATGGGATTCCATTGCCTCCGAACACTTTGGAGATTGCAGGACTGAATGCTCAGACCATAAAACCGATTGATGGCGAAATAGTCATAACATATTCCGAGATAAGAAAAATTGTATATACAATATTATATTTACAATATAGCTAGTCTATATTCACCGAGTGATCGAATGTAATCGGTTGAATTCATAGGTAAGAAGCAATTATGTTTAATCGTTCGACAATTAGGTTAACTGAAGGCAAGCTACTAATAAACGTTTTACATGTATCTATTTTTCTCCTTAGTTTAAAACTAATAAAAATTGCAAAAATATATTAGCAAAAAATTATTATAAAAAAATTTAATGAGATGGTCTCATCGAATTATTATTTATATTATTTTATTACATATAATGTACTTGTTAATAATTTCTCACTCAATATTATAACTGTAACACAACACATTATAGTTATTATCAAAATATTAGTTAACTATTATTTCACAGGATATGCGCGCATTCCTTGATGGAGCAAAAAATGGAGTTATCATAATATCGTTAGGAACAAACGTGAAATGGAAGTTTATCGGATTAGACAAAGTTATGGCTGTTTTATTGGCGCTGTCAAAATTAAAACAACGAGTAATATGGAAGTTAGATATTGAAGTGCCTTTTGAAATACCGGACAATTTGATGATTGTAAAATGGATGCCGCAAAACGAAATTTTATGTACGTTTTCTAATTCTTAGATAAATATAAAAAGATGTGATATTCGATATATATTTTCTCCATGAATAGACATTTTTTCATACTTTCTTTTATTAATGTGCGAATTCTTTTTAATTAAGTTCAAATTTAATCTTTCTTTATTTACAATTAAAATATCTATGAAATTGAAAATATTTTTTTTGTGATATTATTTAAAATAAAATATATTGACTAGAATATAATTTATAATTGAGAAAATCATTAATTTTTAAATAGTACCGATGCGAATTGTTATTTCAATCATCATTTTAGTGTTTCAATGAAGTTTCGCAGTACATTTAACAAAAACATCATATATAACGCATATATAAATATTTTAATTTTATAAATATAAATGGTTCTTGAATAATTAATAATAGTAACATGTTATTTTAATAATACAGTATAACACAATAACCGAGTAAGTGAGAATGGATTAAAATGGATTGAAATTTTAATCTATTTGTATTTAATCTATTTATTCGAATACGTATTTCAATAGCATATAATCCATTTTTCGACTAATTTGGACATGATTGGATATAAAAAACTGCATTTCCTATTTCGAATTGAAAAATATTCTACAAAACGTCGAAAAAAGCTGATGTTATTTTTAGATTAAAAGACATAGAAATGTGCTTTATTCATATGCAATTCCTGTAAATAAATAAAATGGTATTGTAATCAAAAGGGATTTATTTTATCGTTCTAGAAAGCGTATTCCTAAAAATGTGAATCCATTTCAATCCATGTCAATTTATTCTCGTTTACTAGGGAGTTTTTGTTGCACTAGGTTTACATATCTTATTATCTCTACAATAATGTTCGAACGATTTTGTTTTTTTTTTAATATTTTGTTTTTTTCTTGTTGATATCCGTAATAATTTTAATTTTTAAATATAACATTTATATTTTATAATCTTTTTATAACAACAGCTATTTAGCATTAAAAAAAAAACTGATTTTTCTAAAAATGATTTTCAAATGACAAAATTAGATTTAAAAATGCATTAATATAACTAATAAAATGTTTATATGAATGATTCATTATAACAACTGAAACTTTTATTATAAAAAATTTTTATGTTTAGCTCATAAGAATGTCAGAGCAATTTGGACTCATGGTGGTCTTCTCAGTACACAGGAAGCTATTTGGAAAGGTGTACCAATGATTGTAATGCCTTTCTGTATAGACCAAAAATTCAATGCACAAAAAGTAATAGCTAAAAATGCTGGAATATACTTAGATATTAAAACATTGTCCACCCAGATTGTTTTACATGCAGTTGAAGAAATACTTTACAATGAAAGGTATCAAATTTCAATTACGTTTTAATATCATAATTATTATAAACATTAAATTAACATAAATAATGCATAATATTTAAATTATTATAAGATAGTACAATATAATACTATAATTTATTTAATTGATTTAAATGCTTTTGTAAAAACTGATTATAAAATTTAGTTTTCGATTTATATATCTTATCATATTTTGTTTTATTTTGTATTAATCTGTTAATACCATATTATGGGAACAACATACTTAAGAATATTGCATATTCGACCTAATTCAATTGCTTAACAATTGAATAACTTTCATAAAAATGTCATATATTGTAAATAATTGTTCCATCAAAACGTCAGATATATCGATAACAGGAAACATAACAATTTCAAGCAAATGTATGTATCATTTTTGTTTTTTATTGGGACCGATTTATTTATGCAACAATAGTTTATTGTGTACTGATAATTTGAGATTTTCTACCAATCATCCGCTGTATTTTTGTATATTGTTCTGCTTCTTCTCTTCGTAAGTTTCCTCTAACGAAATTTAGATCAAGTGTCATGCCAACGTATTTCGCTGAATTAGAGTATAACATTATTTTGTGATTATGATTGGCAGCTGAGTCACCTTTTTTAGAGTAAAATTAATGCGTTGTGATTTGCTTTCATTAAGCTTGATGTTCCAAGTTGCAAGGTGATGTTTTTAATAATGTTGGATGTGTTTAGTAGAGATAAATTAGTGAGCGTTCAGCGATTCTTTAAGTGATTAATTCTGATTTTTAGTTTTTCGCTGGATCTGAGTATAATATATTAAAAAATGTAGGATATTAAAAAATGAGCGCTCTCTGATTAGTTTTTCTGCTAAACACATCCATTGATATTAAAGCTATTACTTAGATGTTATTTGACGTCACCTTACTATACTTTTAAAGTACTTTTATTTGTAAAAAAATTAATTAGGAATAAAAGTTAATTAAAAGTTATAAGCAGTGAAAAAACATTAAAAAAGTTGGATAAAAGTTAGATATGCTTATACGGAATAAAAGTTAGATATGCTTACGGAATTTAAAAGTTAAATTAATATTCGAATGTAAGATTATATTACATTTATAATACAGTAAAACATGTTTGGTGCAGATATATGAGAAACATGAAACAATTATCTAGTGAATTCCGAGATCGACCAATACCGCCGATAGATTTAGCTGTTTGGGGCATTGAATATGCAGTCCGACATCCAAATGGGACTTTAGTAACTCCACTTAGATATCAAAGCTGGATGGAACAAAATTTAATCGACGTTTATGCATTTTTATTCTTTAATTTTATTGTAATATTGTTAAGTATATTCTTAACAATAAAAGTATTTATTAAGTTTTATTATTGGATATACATCACATTTAACAATAAATTACATAAAAGGAAACAAGCTTGAAAGAGAATGAGCAAGAAAGAAAGTTACTGGTAAGGATTAACGGACACTGCATGTATCTATATTATAGTTACTTTAATTAATGTTAATCTTACTGTAATATTATTGCATTAATATTAATTAATATTAATGTTATTCCAAAACAGTAAAATTAATGTACAAATATAGAAAATGTAATATTAATGTAATTATTAATCGTATTATAATGATTGACCGTTGTTACGTATGTTACTCCGCATATTGTTTTTAGGTTGCTAAAGATAAATCAGTCTTAATAGGTTATATTTGTTTGGTCCTTGGCTTAAGGATTTTATCGGTGGTCCAAGTTACTCAACTGTTTGACCTTACATGCATGTAGTAAAATTGTAAAATCCATAATTTTTGTGCAGAGAATATGGAATATTTTATATTACATTATGAATAATCTCATACGATATTACTATTTTTTTACCTACTGTTTAACTTGCTTGCTGAGAAATCACAAGACTTTTTTTTTTATTGTCCGCTCTTATTTCCTTTCACCAATTCGTTATTCCACACTTGATATAATTTTGAGTCGACTCTCCTGGATATCCGGTGCATTTCTAATTTAAAGCAGCGAAAGAGTTTTTAGAAATAATCAAGATTATCAACTATTAAATTTGATGTAATATAAGAGATATTATATGTATTGAATACTTTTACGGATTGTGGAAGGTAAAGCTAAAGCATTCTCCAATTAATAAAATGTATTTGTTAATAAAAATCTAATTAATAAAATCTATTTTTAAATTGCAAATGACTGAAGTTGTTTTATTAATTAAATATTTGCATAGATTGTGTAGAAAATACTTAGTCGGCAATTGTCATTCATATTTCTAGATAACAAGCAACGTTGCTTTTAATTTAAAATTACGTCTTTTATTATGACATTTTGAAATGAAAATGAGGACAAATAACGTCATTTTGCTATTCTATGTCAATAAGTATTTTTTAGAATTGCTTTTTATTTTTAAATGACATAAAATATTGAAATGGACTGTATTAGTCTCTTCTGTGTAATACAAAAAATGTAAAAAAATTTGTGAAAGGTTTCACTTTTATTAACATACAATTCAAAAGAAATATATTTATATAAACGTAAATTATGTATATTAGTGTAAAAGTAAATTATGAAAGAGATCTAAGAAATTATTTGATGTGCAATGTTTGAGTGATAATGTATTGTTGTTGGAGTTATCATATGCTCATAAACTCAGTTCTATTTATAATTGAGAATCATAATTACAGTAATACCAACCTTAATAAATGTAGAACAATACACGGAAATAATAATCGCAGATCCAATTTTGTAAAAAACTTCAAACTTTCATAATAGATAGTCAAAAATTTTTTGATAATTTTATAAAGTGAAAAGAAAATATTCTATTTTTTCAGCTCGTATTATATTACCGAAAAATGATAAAAATTTGATAAATATTACCAAACTCACAAAAACTAAAAATATATATAACCTTTAGAAAAGATTACCAGTTTTAAAACTTTTTTCTTTTTAATTTAAATTTCATTTTTTGAAGATAATATATATTCAAGTTTGAGCTAAAAAAAAAAATGATGTTACTTTCGACTAATTATTATGCATGCAAATGTTTTCACCCAATCTTAACGATGCGACAGCAGCACTAAAGTATGAATAAATACTGTGTATTATATACGTACTTTAAAAAATTCATTTATGCATACTTTTTTCTTTTTTTTCAATAATTATATAACCAAGTTGAAAATGTCAACATGTCAATTCAGCATATTATTAAAGCGATATTATTGTCAATCAATCTTATTTTGAAATGAAAAGACAAATGCTATAGTAGAATACTGATACATTCAGTCTTGAGATTTAATTGAGAGACTATACAGGAGGTTTTATGCAATGATGTTAAATTGTTTCACTTTATTATTTTATCTTGTTTGTTATATTTTAATGAGCTTCGTGACAACGTCAAAAGCATTGTCGATTTTATTATTGGAACCTATTCCATCGACCAGCCATCATGTTTGGGCAGAGAATTTGATTAAAGGACTACTTCGCGAAGGTCATCATGTACATATAACGAGCATACACGAAACTAAGATTGAGGGTAAACTTGCACAGAACTTGACATATGCCGTAAGTAGATGTTACGAGACTCGTTCTAACAAGAAGCACTATCCAATATATATGTATACATGTCAATTTTCATGAAACTTTTAGTACTCATAAAATGTAAAAATTGTTATCAGTGCTAAGTCATAAAAATATCATTTTTGTAACTTTGAATATTTCTTAAAATTATGATGTGATTGCAAACGGAAATATGGACAACGGATTCATTTTTAATAGATAAAAATACATTGCCCATGGAAATGATTAATCACATTCGTGTTGCAAAATAATATCGAATAATGTAACTTTCTCATATTTTTTACAATTTTCATTAATTTTCCATAAACGTTCTAATTTTTTCTATTGTTTATTGATTGCCAATGAAATAAGTATCATTATTCATCATTTTACATCTACTTTTAATAAAAATTACATAAAATGGTAATAAAAATTACATAAAAATCGGCGTATGTATGTATATGAAGAATGTTCCTTGTATAAATCGATTATATAAAATTTATTAAATAAATGAGAAAGAATATATACTTTTGTTTAAAAAAATCTTATCTTATACTTTAAATATAGAAAGTCAATGTTTTTGAAGATCTTAATTTACTACATTTTTTTACATATCTTCTGTATAGTGAATGATACTTATTATTATTAGATATTCGATGATGTGATGAAAACTTACGAAGAATCTGAGGATTATAATCCGTCTGAGTGGGAACAGTACAGTGTATTTTATATGGGATATTTTACATATCAATGGGGAATCAATGCATGTGAGGCAATGACAAAGACTAAAGCAGCGAAAGAGCTTTTGGAAATGATTAAGAATGTCGAGTTTGACGTTATAGTGCAGGATATTACACTAACTCAATGTTTCTATGGATTGTGGGAGGTAAAGATAAATAAAACAATCAGTGAAATACAGCTATTTAATATATTTTAGCTATTTATATTTTTTAATTGTAAGACTGAATTCGCCACAGGACGGATGATTTATGTCAGTCAAGTCACTAACAATTATTAGTTGTTCGTGTAACATGGTTCTTATAGATCAAATTGTGTTTGCGTGGCAAACTAAAAACGTTTTGTCATCATTTATGTCAGTAATAATCTGTAACATCTTGTTTCTTCATATGACATGTAACAAGTATTGAAATAAATGATTTATTTATAAGGCTTCTAATAATACAAAAATCGCGAAAATGTTGAATAAAAACATAGTATTTTTTGCATAGTAACATATAATTAATTTTATGTTAATTAATTTTATTTGTGTGCATTTGTTACAAAGTAATATCTATATAATTTTAATTTCGCTCATTGTTATTCTGTAAATATTGTTTTTTAGATTGCTAAAGGTAAGCCACCTATAGTAGGTTATATTCCATTTGGTCCTGCACCTTGGCTCAAGGATTTTATCGGTGGTCCAAGTTATCCAACTGTTCGACCTTACACGCATGCAGCCATTGCGAAACCCGTAGATTTGTGGCAGAGAACATGGAATACTTTATATTACATTATGGATGATCTCATACGACATTACTATTTTTTACCTGCTGTTCAACGGCTTGCTGAGAAATATGTGGGTCATGCAATCAGACCATTATATGAAATAGAAAAAGACAGTATTAATATTGTACTAATCAATAGTCATCCTGCATTTGATTCTGGGATTCCATTGCCGCCGAATACCTTGGAGATTGCAGGATTAAATGCTCAACCCATAAAATCGATTGTCGACGAGGTAGTCGTAACATATCCCGAGGTAAGAGAAATTATTCTTCATATTTGAAAATTGGTAAAACTTGCACAAAAAATTAAAAGGGAACAATGTATTGTACTAAGGAAATAGAATTTTAATGGAATTCTGATCGATTTTATTACAATATTTGTTATTATTCCTAGTTGAAGAATAATTTCAAACTAAGATTATTATTATTATTCTATCTCGTATTACATTTTGAAGTCTATTTCTTAACTTTATTAAAAATATTATGGCAGAGTAAGAAAATACTAATTTACTGATAATATTTTAGATAAATGATTAGAAGGAAAAATCTGACATTTAGGGATCTTGTTAATTTTTTGTTTAGTTTAAAATTTTTAAGACTTCCTGTATTTATATTTTATATCAGATTGAATGAAATGTTCCATTTTTTTCAATCAAATTAAAAGGACAGTTATGCATGAGATGTGAGAATCTCTGCACTCATTCCAATCGAATATATATATATATATATATATATATATATATATATATATTATATATTATATTATATATTATATTATATATACACAGGGTGTTTGATATTATATATTATATTATGTATAAACAGGGTGTTTGATAAGTAAAAAAAAACGATAAAACTCTCGCATAGGGGTAGAGCGGATTAAATTGACAGGGTGTCTATAAAGTTCCACCCAAACCATATCTCGGAAACGGCTTTAGATATGGAAAAATATTTCAGACAAAAGTTATAGAACATTAAGGGAGATGTATGTTAAAAATATGGACCTTGAGTGACCTTCATAAGGCTAGATCAATGTGATCATTGTTTCCTTGAATCCCTCATTTTTTATTTTATTAGGTGTTGGAATTAATTCGTAGCGTTTTACAAGTGATGGGAAGTACTTTCATTAATGTATTTTTTAATGCTCATGTGAAATAAATAACATTCTTTCATTAAAAAACGCTACGAATTAATTCCAACACCTAATATATTTTTATATTTTATATTTTTGTAGCTTACTTTGAAAAAACATTATAATAAAATATTTTTTCGTTAAATACTTTTCAAGTTATAAGGCTTGAAAGTTACAGTACCGTCGGCATTTTAGCATTATCCAAGATTTCCGACAGCTAAAAACCTTTTAAATGTTGTTCAGAATTATGACCTGGATAACATTTGTCAAGATCAAGGCTATTGGTGATTGTATCTCATTTTTGGTGATTGTATTTTCATTTTTACGTAAAAATGAATTTTTAGTAGAGATTTACACTTCAAATAAACTATATACATATAAAAATTGTATGAATAAGATTATATTTTTGTTTAATAATACATTTTTGTAGTTTTTTATTTTATTTATTATTATTTTGATTGTTAAAAATTGAAATTAAAAAAATGATTACAAAATTTACATTCAAAATAATTTATACAAAGTTTCATTGCGATTCGCTAATTCAATTACAAAAATATAGAAGAAATAAATATTTTGTTTATTTACTGGACAAGTTTATGCATCTCAATGTAACTCTACGTAAATAATCTTAAATACATAATGTACTTATGTTTAAAAATTGAGATCATTTATTTTATAATATTTTCATATATTTTTATTAAAGCACAAATTAAAAAAAAAAAATTAAATAACTTATGATCTACAATAGATAATAAACCGTCACCAAATTTATTGTTTTTATTCGTATTATTAGAATAATTCATAATTTTTTCATAATTTTATTATTTTGAAAATATGTATAAAACATCCTTAATAAAAAAACAACTTTCCATTCAATCTAATAGAACATCTATATGTATAATATATCTAATTAATTCTAATATGTAAAGAAACACATTTTAGATTATATGTTATATTTTCAAAATCTATAATTGAATAAATATAACAACCTCATGATATGATATAGTTTCTAATTTTTATTAATTAATTTCTATCGTAATTAAACACAAAAATGAATATTATGGCATAAACTTTAATATAACAAAAAATATTTTTAAAAATAATGTTTTATTTTATACACACACACGCACACACACACGCACACACGCACGCACGCACGCACGCATGCACGCACACGCACGCACACACACACACACACACACACACACACACACAAAACACATATAACAGTGATTTATAAAAAATTGTGCATTTTATTTGAACAAATTTGATAACACGACTTTCAGCTTAGATATAATTTGCTTAAAACTGTATCAGTCACTTATAACTAGCTGTTTTGGTATTGAAATATACTACTTTTGTACTTTGTTAAAGTATCATTTATTATTACTTCGCAGAATGTGCGTGTATTTCTTGACGGAGCAACGAACGGAGCACTCGTAATATCTTTAGGAACAAATGTAAAATGGAAATCGATTGGATTAGACAAGGTTAAGACCGTTATTTTAGCTCTGTCAAAATTAAAGCAACGAATTCTATGGAAGCTTGATATTGATGTACCATTTGAAGTACCGGATAATCTAATGACTATGAAATGGATAATGCAAAAAGAAGTTCTATGTATGTTTCTTGATACTTAGAAAAATACGAAAAACATACGAATTTAACACATATTTTTTTATAATTTTTGTTTAATTAGCTTTCCATACAGTTTTTAAAAAAATTTTTACATTTAAGTTTACGCTTATCATCTTTTTATTAAAGATTCAAATATCAATCGGTCCGATTTTTTAAAATTTGAGAGTGATTTGAATTTGAGTGTAATATCATTCTCTTAAGCGGGAACACCACTGTGACTGGTTAAAAAAATCGATTTTTCTTTGCATTTTTGTAATGCTTGGAAACTTAAAAATATGTATCCTAAAATATTATACTGAAATTCGTAACAAAACTATTATATGTGATGGAATAGCACGTGATCAGATGCATAAACTAATCGATTGTAAAACGTTACGTTTTTCTCGAAACCACGTTTTCGTAATTGAGCGCTTACATATCTCGGCCAATTTTTATCCGACTAACTTGAATTTTGGATAGAATGTTTACAACAAGATTGTCTTCAGTTAAGCGTACAAATTTTTCAATCGGATTATAGTTTTTAAAAAACTATAAAAAAAAAGTAATAATTTTTTTCGCAAAATCGCGACTTCTTTTTTTAAAACAGCGCCATTTTGTCTTATATTATTCAAAAATCAATATGCTTAACTGAAACTACATTCATATACTTTAAAATAAAAAAATATTTTATTTTTAGCGCTCTCGTTCAGACGTAGCACCCGTGCACTCATGTTTTTCCAGACGAGGTACACATTAATGAGCACTGAAGCTAGAAATATTAATATTATTTAATGAATTTTGTAATAATTTCGTAAATGTATGTACTTTGAATATAAAGACAATCATTCATACAAGCTATTTTTTACAAAAAAAATTCACAAAAGCTTTTTTTTAACCGTCACAGTGATATTTTCTCTTAAAAATAACATTGAGTAGAATAAGATTACAAAAATGATTACAAACTTTCATAAAATATTATTTAAATTATCGTTTCAATATTTTAGTAAAATATTGTGGTGGACATACATAAAAACATTGCGTACATAAATGTTTTGTGGATTAAATAATTCTTGCATGACTAATTACAGTAGAACATGTACTATTTGATACTGTTTTTTCATCTCCCAAATTATCTGACCTTATTAACAAGTTCTCATGACGGTTATGCTCGAAAAAATTACGCGTAACATTATTGTCATCAGATCTCAAAAAGATCGGACAAAGAGGGAGATAAGGAAATGATGTTAGATAATTCGGATTCTAATATTATTAATTCTATTTTAAATTATTAATGTGATGTAGAAAAAGGTTAGGAAGTATCGGACTTTGTTTTTTCAACATTTTATTTTGTTGAACGGCAAATATTATGTATAATATACATAAATATAAAACATTATTCTTATATACCATATAATATACATAAATATAAAACATTATTCTTATATATCGTAACACCTTTTAAATCATATTTTTTTAAGAACAAAAATAATTAAAACTTTTACATTTTTTAATATTATAACATTTTATAATTTTTGATAAATTGAGGGGTGAGATTAAATAGAAACATTTTAAAAAATACATGTTTATTAATTACAAATTTTGAATTAGATATTTTTTGGACGCATAAACTTAACGTTTATAAAAGAGACCTACTTCTTCACAAGCACAGTTTTCATAAGCCCAACTTTCACAAAACATTGCACTGAATTAAGCCAGTTTTTAAAAATTTTTTAGTTAAATGATATCTTTTCGTCATTTTATTTTTCTTAAATATTAATATTTTTTTATGATTTTCCTTTGACTTTTATATTTTCTTATCCTCATCATTATCTTTACTTAGATTGTCCAATACCGTCTGCTACTTTATTGTCTAATTTATATCACTCAAATGACACGCAATAAAAAAATAATGTATGAAATGAATAGTCTTTAAAACAAAAGAGATTTTAAATCTATAATTTGAAGAATAATAGATGTTATTTACATTGATAAACTAAAAACGATATTTGACTTATATTTAATAATGTTACTGATTGATAAAGTTAACTCTATATCGGCGTAAACAGGAGCAGCGTAACAAAATGCGCATTAACTCATAAACACCAATGCATCTATTTTCAATATGGAGAGATCCCAGTTTTCATGAAGATACCACATCTATCTTCCATGAAGATACCACGTCTATTTTAAACAATTCTTGACTCGTATCAGCCAGTATCTGACAGTATTCCTCTAAGAATATCAGTTCTTGTTGCAAAAAATACATCTGATCATTTCACAATGATGTCTAATTTTGTTCTTTTTTTAAATTTTTTCATATTACAGATAATTTCAATTTTTATTTTTACAATTATATTTTACAATTTCTTTAGGATAACAAGTCAACGTTTACGAGAATAAAAAACTTTTTTTTTTAAATAACTTACAGATGATAAAATTATTGATTAAAAAGTGCAATTGTATTAATTTAATCGAGACACAACTTATAATAAAATATATTTATATCATTGTGAATTTTTTATCATAACAATTTTGAGAGTTAAAATGTATATAAAAAAATTTTATGTTTAGCTCATAAAAATGTAAGAGCGATTTGGACTCATGGTGGTCTCCTCAGCACACAGGAAGCCATTTGGAAAGGTATACCAGTAATCGTAATGCCTTTTTTTATGGATCAAAAATCCAATGCACAAATATTAGTAGCTAAAGGCGTTGGCATATATTTGGATGTCAAAACTTTATCCACACAAACTATATTACACGCAGTTGAAGAAATATTTTACAATGAAAGGTATTATATTTCAACTATCTTTTAATATCATAATTATTATTTAAGCTAAATAAACAATAAAATTGTTTCAATAATATTTAGATCTAATATAATTGGTTTAAAATTTTGTAAAAATAGTCGCCTATATAAAATAACAGATTATGAAATTTAATTTAATTTTTCATGTATCTTGTTATATACAATTCTTTATGTTTAATTAAAATTCGCACGTCGTGTTAAAATGAGTTACATTAGTAATATTGGGTCATTTAAAAAGTATCCGCGGTTTTTTCATTCAAATTGAACAAAAAACCGCGGATACTTTTTAAATGACCTAATACATAAATTTCTTTGATACAGTTATACAAAAAACATGAAACAGTTATCCAGTGAATTCCGGGATCGACAAATACTGCCATTAGATTTAGCTATTTGGAGCATTGAATACACTGTCCGCCATCCAAATGGGACTTTGGTAACGCCGCTGAAATTTCAAAGTCGGATACAACAGAATTTAATTGACGTTTACGTATTTTTATTTTTTAATATCATCATAATACTGTTAACTATATTCTTTGCAATAAAAATACTTATTTATTTTTATTATAATCATATATATATACGGCATCTAAATTTTACAAAAGCAAACAGTCGTAAAAGCCGCTGAAATATAATGTTAATCACTAGTAGTGTAGTCGAATCTTGGCAGGGCATGGCGCCAGGATACTTTTTTCGGAAGTCAAGCCTGACGGTGCGACGTCACACACACACACACACACACACACACACACACACACAAAGCTCTTTCTATAATTATTTAAAACTAATTTTTTATGTTGTGTAATAAGACGGTAAGAAGAAAGAGAAGTATTTATTGAAATCTGAATTGCGACATAACATAGTGTAGTTAATCAAAGAATCCAATCAAACAAGGTGTCTCAGAAATAATGTACGCGATACGTTGAGGGCATAGAAGGGGAACAAAAAAGTCTTAAAATATTTTATAATTATTTAGATATTCGCTGTAGTTTTCAAATAAAAAAAATAAAACGTTTAAGCCAATGTGCGATAACGCCACGCGCCGCGAATTCTGTGAAAAGATTTCATTTCATGAAAATTTGATAAACCTTTGTTCAAAGTATCTTTATTCAGTGTACTTTTATTTTTAGAACTACACCACTGATTAATTACGTAATATTAATTTAATAAGGAATATTATCTAATTGTTATATGCTAATTTTGACAAAAACTGTATTAACAAAAATGTTTGTAATACGAAAAATAATGATGCCAATTTTATTGACAATTATTAATATAAAGATAATTAAAAAATAATATAGAAATGTAAAGCTTTTATAATAGTATAGAAATGTAAGCTTCTATAATCGATAACTCATATGGTTCATTAAATAATTAAATTAATGAATTCTCTATGTATACCTCTGTTGGTTGCATTGAAAAGATAAAGTTTTAATAATTCTTTATTATGATCGATTAAAATGTTATATAAAAAAATAATGCTATTTTTTAAATAACTATCAATCTTGGTATAGGCGACGAATAAATCCAAGGATAGATGTAAATCAGTCAATGCGAGTCAACATAAGTTAGGCACGTATGAAATCGTATACTTTCTTGAGAAAAATTGACAAACGTTTCAACCCTTTTGGGTCTTCCTCAGTGTAAAAACAAAAATAAAATCGGTGACTTATAAATTTAATATAAAAAATGCGATGTAAAGCAAATTAAAATATTGTTAACATATTAGGTGTTGGAATTAATTCGTAGCGTTTTACAAGTGATGGGAAGTACTTTCATTAATGTATTTTTTAATGCTCATGTGAAATAAATAACATTCTTTCATTAAAAAACGCTACGAATTAATTCCAACACCTAATATATTCATAAAATGATAATAATATTGTCTGTCGTATCTAACAAGATACTCAAACCTAACATTTCAGATTATCTATAATTTAATAAAGTCAAATAAGTCATTAAAACATAAATCAAATTAAGATAATCAATAGGCTCTAAAGAAAAAATCTAAAAGATAATAAATAAAATGCCAACACTGGTTATTAGTGTGTACTTTATATCATTTATTCAAAATGAATAGTAAAGCGTAAAATTTACGTCGAAAGAGTCGAAGTAAATGCTGATGCTAATGAAAAACTGGAAAATGCCAATGGTAAAATCACAGAATTTGTACAATCTGAATAGTATAATAGGTTCAGTTCTCAATGTGCTGTCAGATTATATCAGCAGCTTTAGCTCGGTTTCTATCATCAATCTGCTAGCCAGCATAATAACAGCACAAGCTTTAAATTATTGATAAATCCATAGTCAAATACATAAATGCCTATGGTAACGGGTTCTATTCGAGTTTGCAAATTTGTCCTTATTTTTCTAATATTTTACTAATAATATTTTACTTAGGGATATGTATGTAATCATGTTTTCAATTGTCATCAAGTACTAGTGATTCCGAGGATGAAGGACCTTTCGTGATAGTGATAAAATCATGATAAAATCTTATTCGCAAGAGAATGATTATATTAACACAAATAAAAAATAGAATAAAAAACGGGCAATTAAGAACATTAATATGCGGTAATTGGTGTGAATATCATAAATACATATATTCCGATCGTATCTACTGATCTATTACATAAAATATCAAACTGAAGTTTCGACTATAGTCAAGTCATCTTCAGCAGTCCCCAATCATAGTAATAATTGTTCACAATCTAATGATTATATTTTTGGTAGATTGTAATAATAATAGGAACATATCCCTGATCATTCTAATCGAAATCATTATAACTCTTAGTATACGCAAAGCGTAATGAGCTTTAAAATAACCAATTTTTTAAATTATGGCATTCATGTTTTGAGCTCAGTAGTACTGACAAGCAAATCGTGCGAAACATTAATATTTTTCAAATCTTTTAAAATTGTTCTTTATATCAAAGTATAAAAGAAATCTGTCATTAATTTTAACTTAAATTAAAAAAAATAAAAAAATAAAAAAATATTTCTTTTATTTTTTAGAAATATGTATTCTGTGTATATACTGTGTATACAGTTATGTACTAAGAGTTACGACATATTTATGCTTGAAGTTGGTTATAAATATTTGAAAATTACTTTTACAGAAAGTGATACTAAAGGGAATGAGTCACAAGAATAAAAAATAGCCCAGGGCTGTGCAAACTTATTTTAATTTTTCATGATTAATTAATTTCTATTGTTTTTATATTGAATAAAAGGCTACAGAATATTACGTTATGTTTTTTTATGCTTACTTAAATCCTATTTTACGTATTTTAAATTAATATTTTTATGAACAGAATAATGAGATCAATTGGTATAAGGAAAACAATTATTTATGCTTATTATGCTTATTTAAAAAAAAACTTATATATTTTGACAATATATTTTTTAGTGGATTTTTTATTATGTGTTTTCTTTACATCAATAGATTATCTCATTATTTTATTCATAAAAGTATTATAGTTAGTAAAAATTAGTGGTTTACGAAATATTTAATATTTCATGTCAATACTTTTTTAATATTTCATGTGTCAGAATAAAGTTTAAAATATCTAGTATTGTATATAAACTATTATATTGATTTCTTTTATATCTCTATCCCTCAAAACTGTCCACTTTCATCTAAAACATTTTTTTTTAGTTTACTATCCGCGTCTGATTACTATTGCGCATACGTACGCATTACTACAGTAAGAAACAGATAGGATACGTATGCGTAATAGCAATAAGAAACGGACAGGATACAAATATGCAATTGCAGTAAGGAATTGACAGGATGCGTATACGTTGCACAAGATGCGTGATTGCAGTAAAAAACGGTCAGATATAGCATCCTGTCTGGTTCCGCAATCAGATGCAGATAGGAATCCTAATTGCAAGTATGCTCCATTCTGTTAGGAAATCAGTTACATACAGTTAGCATATCCATCCGTCTTTGCGTACAAAAACTATTAGGTTCTGCAGCCCACTTATGACTGCATTTATCCGTAATTACGGGTAAAGAAATACACCGTCGAGCAGTCAGAAATCAATAGTATACATCAGTTTCTATCGGTTTCTATGGGAATTTTTATCAGGATAAGTTTTGACAGAATAAATAGTAATTTCTTATAAACAATACATATATAGTAATCGCGATTATTAGATTATTATTTTATATGCACTTTGAATATTATTTTATGTTACTTGAAACAAACTAATAAAAACTAATTTAAAAATAATGAAATATTTTCAAGTATTTTTAATTTTAATGTGCATAAGTACATATAAACACCTATCTATATATTACAATATATGTGACGCGTATGTTCCATTTGTTTGAATAATCAATATTGCCAGATCAAAAGAAGATTCTCCTAAATTTAATTTTTTAATCGTATATCAAATGACATTTTTGTAGTTATAATGTTATAAGATTATGTATCCTAACTGTATGTATCTTTAAATTAACTGTATGTATCCTTAAATGTAAGTGGAAATCCTTTGATCCGGCAAGACACTTTGAAATAAAACACAACTAACTTCAAGAAAAAAAGTGTTATTGATCACGTATTTAATGATAAAAATTGGATAAAATAGAATTAAATACTAAAGATTAATATCTTTTGAGATCTTTATATTTAACATTAAAAAAGAAAATGAAGAATAATAAGACTGGTGAGTATAATAAGTAAGGTAAAGATGTAGAAAATCATATTAATTTTTACGTGTATATTGTAATTAAATAATAAGATTAATTGTCAATCTTAGTATTTAAATACAAAATATAAAATACTTTTATATATTTTCATGACATACAAAATACAAAATATTTTCACATGCTCTGCTGAAATACAAAATGTAAGATATAATTGTCTTACAAATATTATTTTTCACATAAAAATATTTCAAATACGTGACTAGTGTATAGGGATTTTGTTGCGAGTTGCCTACAAGCAGCGTCAGAGAAAAAAATAAGATTAGATAGATTATGGCGCTCATCCTGTACGGTCATATTCATTTGAGCTCGAGTAATAAAGATTTATAGTTACCAGTTACAAGAAAGTGTCGATCATTACCTCTTATATCACATTACACGACAAGGGTGGGCTTGTCTTGAGAATTTGACTCATCAATCGAGTCACTTATTCCCACACTAGCCCTGCTTGTAGAGACTTCTAACAGTTTCAGCTTGAACTTCATTCAAGTATAGGTTGCCGACAAGTGGTACTGTGATCGCACGTTGCAAGCAAGTTGGAATTCGTATCACTGACTGACACCAAGTTAAATTCCACATAATTTTGTGTATAATTTGTATCAAAAATTTGATATTAACAACTGGCGCCAAGTTAAATTACACAAAATTTTATGTATCATTCTTATAAAAAATTTGATATCAACAATTGACGCCAAGTTAAATTCCACATAAAGAATATAAGCCAATATTATTTTCAATTTTGTAGATGAAACCTAAGTATATGTATCTTTGTATTCCTATTAAAGATCTTCCTATTCCGTTCCATTTTAATAAAAAAATTTTTTATGTAAAAACACTTAACGTTGTTAGATCAAATAAGAAAAATAACAAAAAAAATTTTAAAGTTATAATTGATAAAAATAATTGATAGAGAAGTTAGAGTATAATAATAATTTAAAAATAATGATGATAATAATGATTTAAATACATTTATCCTTATCTTAAACTGTGGATAGAAGTCAATTATAACATAACATTTGTTGGCCAATATTCTTATAAA